TCCATTTTACATGAAAATAGCAAAAAACAATTTTTCTCAGAATAATATTTATTAAAATTTAGAATGTTATATTAATGTTTATTAGGGTAATAATATAATAAAATAGACTATATTCAATTTTAATTTGTAAAATTGTTTTACAATAAAATTCATTTTAAATAAGTTTGTAATTTGTTAAGTGAACTTTATATTTTATTAAAAATTTTATTCAAATTATTTATTTATATATCTGAAATTATTGTACTTAACAAATTAATTAACCTTTTAATTTTTAATTTTATTATTATATATAAATTATTGTGTAAATTTTTTATTACTTTATTATCATTAAATTTTATACATCTACACGATTGCGATATTACAAAAGTTTTATGCGTTCTTACACATAAATAAAAATTTTACAGTATTTATTTACGTATCGAGATACGAGTACGGTAAAATAAAAACGTAAACAATATTCTCAAAAAAAAAAATATATATAAAATAAAATAAAAAATAAAAAAAATAAAAAGAAAAAGAAGAAAAGTTTATCGAACGGATACAAGTGGAGATTATCAAATGAAGATATAATCGAAATCCATCGATAGGGCAATTAAATTATCGTGATAAAAATATTACGGTCGCGGTAGGATCGATTTAATCTTCGATGGCACCAGAACGGTGGTCCATGAGAATCAGCCCGCATGTTTCTGCGGCTTACGCGAGCCGAACTTTGATATTCCGACGTCCCAGGGGGAAAGTAGAGCCCGCTCGTTCTATCTTCAAAGTCCCCCTCATACGAATTCCCCATCCTCCTCCTTTCTCCAGCCGTTTGCTTCTCTCCCTTCGTCCCATGTCACGCGCGCATTCGTGTCGAGTAAGCCGCTTGGTCATCCATCGGCACTTTCGTGTGCGTTCGCACATAGAGCTCGTCGCTTCGCTTGCCACGTGTATGTAGCTTCCGTCCACATACGTGAAAGAAGTATCTCATGTGTGCAACCTGGCGAGGTACCACTTGCTAGTTGCGGACTTTCAATCAGACCTTTCGGCCAACATAGCCTTTGCATTGATTGTCTTCGTGACAGAAGAGTACCTTAATATATGTGACATTGATAATAAGAAAACATATGACGACGTTTAAATAAGAAATGACTTGTAAGTGGATTGAGTCAACTCAACTCATTATACTGTATTAGGATTACATCTGCATGCTAATATGAATAGGGGTAAAGTTGCGTCTAAGGATTAGTGAGGAAGAGCCGAATGTCCGATGTATGAGTTCGTATGGTTTTTTGGGTTGGTATATCTTCGGGTACGTAACCCAGTATAATACTGACGTGCGGCGGCGGCGGCGGCGGCGGTGGTGGCGGCGGCGTCGTGCCTGGAAAGGTAGCGTAGGCGTGGCAACGCGTCGGCGTCTCGGCGCCTTATTCGTTGAAAACTTTGCGCAAAAGCACCGCCCCGGCCGCGCGAGCGCGGTGTTCTCGGCACGTGTGCGTGAAAGCCCAGCTGGGCTTTCGGAGGACCCGGCACGCCGGTGTAATGCTGTGGCCTCCGCGTGTACGTGTGCGAGAGGAAAGAAGAACGGGGAGGATGCCAGGCGGTTTCCCCGCCACCGCTGCTGCCGCCACCGCCGCCTTCCCTCGGGTCCTCCGCACCACTCGTCGACGGCGACGGCGCCATCATTCCCCGCCAATTTTTTTCAAATGCTAGCTCCCTCTGCTCGGCCGACGCCGGAACTGCCATCCTCTTTCTCACTTCTATCCCCGTTCGTTCCTCTTTCCGGCACGCTTTCTCTCTTCTACCATTTTACTACATCCCCTCACTGTCTCTCCTTCGTGCCCTTCCATCGCGCTCGTTCGGTTTCGTTCGCGCTTGTCCCTTTTCCATCCTCGTTCCAGCGATCGCTCTTTTGCTTTCTCCCGCTCTTCGTGCTCGAAGAACAACCGTGTGGAAGGGCGCGCCGCGAAAAGGGACGGCAAGGACGAGAGCAATAAAGAGGGGGAGATCCTCGAGCGCGGCGATAAGCGTCGCCGTCGAGGGGTCTCCGTCTCTTCGTCTCTTCGTTGCGGGACGCGAGGGTCGATTTCCGGTGGTGGGAATTTTTCTCGACGTGGAAGCGACGAACACCAGTACTCATCCTCCTCCCTCCCCCCCTTCCCCCCTCATCTCTATCTTCGTTCGCTTTTCCTTTTGCAACGCTGCAATCGACGACTCTATTACTTCCGCGAAAGGGAGAGAAAATGCAGCAAACGGAGGAAGATGGGGGAATAGCCGGGGGCTGTTTGACACACGAAGGAGAGGGAGAGGGGGGAGGGGGGAGAGTAGACGCGAGGCGATCGTGCAGCTGGTAAAGCAGACAGAACCTTCGTCCTTTTCTTCGTTAAGGGCAACTTGTGTCGCGCGTACCTGTTTAGCAATTCTCGAAATGCGACAGGTACGATTTATACGAGAGACATCGTATACAATAGTACATCCCAACTATACATGACGAGGAGTCACATTTATATCACGTTACAAGCGCACTGTCCGATATATGTTAGTCTGGTAGAATTTCAGCTAACTATTGTTTTTTTTATATTCTCTCGAAATAATCTTTTTCTACAATTAGTTATTATATGGCCTATATTTATAGCCTATGTGTGTAAATATCACGTGGAGAACCTTGGTTGCATTTGGTAATTATTTAATGTCTACATACGTTTATATATAAATATTTACTTATGATATTTTTACATGTATATATATATATATATACAATATATATGTACATAAAACTGTATTTATATATCTAGTTAGATTTTCAAATATTTTATTAATCAAGAATACTAAATAATTACGACAGTATGTCGTTTTTCTTCTTCTACAAAGTTGAGATTCTACAAGGTTCAGATCATTATATAGATAAAAAATAGCTTGGTTTAAAGTGCTTAAAAAAATAATAAAATTCATTATAGTAATCAGGTTACAATAATCAAGTGTTTTACAGCTTTTAAAACAATCTTGAGCCGATATGTGGAAAGAAATCGATTTGCATGGAGTCATATCGGCGATAAACGGTCTCGCTGCAAGCGATCCTAAGACATTCATTGCGGGAAACCGGAATGATGGGCATTCGCGGCAGCATTCCTTGACGTGGCGGCCGATCGCGGCGCGCACGTGTCTCGAATCGCGGAGAACGCGTGCGCGTATTGACACGCGCTGATCGAACGCAGTGACGCGCGGGCCTCGTCACGAGGGCGAACCAATACGGCGTGATCCGGGCCGGTATATCCACCACGACCACGTGCGCGCCCGAAGTAAGCATTCACCTACGAAGGTAGGCCACGTTGCCGGAGGTTAATAAGTAGTTGTCGCTCCATCTCCGAGAGGCGAAACATCCCCGGACACCCAACCATCCGACCACCCGCCCACCACCCTTGCGTCAGCGAGGGCGTTGAAAAATCAGTCTCCTTACAAAAAGGGCTCGTTGAAAGGGACCGCGTAAGGGTGGGATTCCACGCGGGAGAGACCGGGATGGCCGGACGGAACGTCGGAAGGGGGGAACGAGTGGTGAGTTTGAAGGGGGATGGAAAAGTAGTAACGGCGTGTGCGGTGGTCGGGGAGGTGGCGAGGAGGGGAGGGGAGTGGGAAGGCGGGAAATCGGGCAACGTAAATACGGAGCACGTTGCTATGCGCCGTAAGCGTCCGCCCAGCCACCCTTTTTACAAAGGGTGCCCTGAAAGTACGGTACGTGTTACCGCCGGGTAAAAAGGAACGAATGAATAAATTAGCCTCCACCCATGTGCGACGACGTAGAGAGAAGGGTCGGGCGTATCGCGCGGCACGCCATTTTGGAGAACGAAGGTCCCCCACGGGGAAAGGACACGGCAGGATACGAAGGATTCTTCTAGTCGCTCGATGCATTTTACATGGACCTCACGGCCTTCCACCTTTTTTTTTCCCCTCATCTGTTCACCTTTTCGAATTATCGCACCGTCCTTCGATCAGCTCGTTCGTGATCATTCATGAGAAGAAAGTGGATCGCCACCTTGATTATGATAATGCCACTGAATGCCGACATATTCATATTATGTTAAACGTTTCGTACATATATATATATATATATATAATAGTTTGTAATAGTTAATATTATATTTAATATTATATCTATATAACGAGATTTTGTGTTGGTAATAATTATGTAAGATGACTATAATTCATATAATTTTATTCCAATCGTGAGCTTTGCGTTTGTAGTGGAAGGGCAATGATTCGATCGGTAGCAACGTTCCATCATGAATTCGAAATGGTAAATAGCAATAATTAAATCGGAAGTCGAATTCCGCACGTTGCACCGATGAATTCGACATAATCGCCGACAGATTAACCAATAGCGTCGCTAATCACTACCGGACGCGACAAGCTCGCGTTAGTTGTGTACTAGTAATAAATCGTGCGGCGACATTTGATGGCCGAAATCGAAATCGAAACTCTCCGGGGAGGAAGATCGGCATTTGCTTAGAAGAATGCTTGTTTTACAAAAGAGATAGAAATTGCTGGAAGTCCGCCTTTATTAAAAGCATCTGGTGTGGCATGCGATGTGCGCCATGTATATTTATTTCATTATGCGGATATTAAACTCTGCATTATCTCGGAACATTCCTTAAATACTGTACATCTAATAACAAATTCAAACTTTATGGAATATTAATTTAATCACACAGCGATTAAATTTCGTAAAATGAAACAACATGTCCATCAACTGATATTATATACATAACGTAAACATTGCGGTGGTATTTTGATACTAAACCCCTGAATGCATACAGGTGTATTCAGGTATAATAATTAATGCTCATAATAATTATCGTGGAATTTTCGGACAAAAGATAAACTTAATCGATCGCAAAGTGACGCTAATCGTCGATGTCCCTTTCGAAATCGATAACTGTCTGGAAAGTGGCGATCTACAGAGAGCGATTGGAATCGGGGGGGGGGGGGGGGGGGGGGGGGAGAGGAGAGAGAAAGAACGAATCGCGCAAGAGGAAAAAAGAATTCGTTTAATATCCAATTTCCGAGACGTCAATCCTTTAACAAATTACTGGTCATCTCTGCAAGAGGGCTACAAGCTCGAAGCACATCTCATTTCCCGTCTTTTTCATCTGTCCGCGAAAGAACGGACGTGCACGCGTGCATACGTGCATGAATGCGTACGTGCGTACCAGGAAGGTTTGCAGTACCGTCCCTGAATTTACAATGTCCCTTTACCACGGTACGTCCGCCAGACATGCACGAGATTCATCCGTCGTTCTAACGATTGCGAGTTCACGTTTTTGTTCGGTCATCTTCATCAAATACGCGGTGCTTCCTTGTGCGTCTGTAAAGAAAAAGAAGAAATCCGTTAGTTCAACGTGCAATAAAAACAGCATCGCCGTGATATTCTCGCGATTTCTGTCGAATATATCTGGGAAATTGATCACGAGCGATCGCAATCGGAAAAGTTCGTAGAAACGTCGATATACAATAGACGCGTACACTTATACAGTGTCGAGAATCGCCGGGAAATCCCCGCACGTATATATCGCGCGTATTCTCGCCTCGCGCTACCACATGAAGGTAGCTTCATTTCGCCGGATGTCCCCCTCGTTTTGCTTTCTCGCGGATGTCCGAACGCTTCGGCCGCACCCACCATAGATCGGTGGAAAAGGGTCGCCGCGGCGTGGTCGGCCGGCCGGTCGGTCGTTCGGTCGCTCACTCGCTCGCTCGCTCGCTCACTCGCTTATTCGCAGTGGGGGAAGAGTTGCTCGGAGATAGTAAGCTCATTTATACCTGGGACGTGCTTGCGAGGTAAAACTGCTGAAAAATGATATCCGAGCCCGCGTCCCGCGGATTCCCGTCCGCCATGGCCATCGCCGAGCCGCGTTACCATCGTACAGTCGAGACCGCGTCCCTCACTCTTACCCCTGTTCGCATCCGCCCTCCTAGCCCTCATCACTGCCCTCGCCGCCCGCGGTCTCATATCGCAGATAGGAAATTCTATCCTTCCGTTTTCGTTGCACGTCCCCCCTCCCCCTTTCCGTTCTCCCCCTTTCTCCACCCCCCGCTGTTTCCACCTTCGCCACCCCCCGCGGCACGGCCGGCGCGGCCCCGCGACGGCAACTATTAAAATCTGGGATTCCATTTAACGGTTCACGGCAAAAGACTGAATATTTTCATGGATAATTCGCGCGATGAAATGTTACGGCGCTGCGTTACATCGGCGAAATGTTTTAAAAGCGTCGGCGCTGCGCGGCGGTTGAACTACTTTACAATTCCGCGAGAAATGTTACGATTCGACAGCGTTATTTGCGATAGATTGGAACATTGTCAAAATATTTCCCTTCGTTTCGACGAACTGGATAATTATCCAGTGGAAATTCGTTATCTTCACAGATGGAAATACTTTTCCCTTCCCTTCCTTACGAGTTGATTGAGCCACAATCGCGTGCAATAGTGAGCGGTTTATTTTTTATTAATATATAGCGCATATTGAGACCCGCATTGTAAGCGTCCCCCATATTAAGCGTCAATGTAATCGTCGATGACCTTTAATTCGTGAAAATAAATGGAATGTGACAGTTAGAATATCCATTAATTTTAATGATTTTCCATAGTCGAAGAAAAAAATCAAGAACGGTAAAGAACGGTCGTTTTTTTCTGATACACGTTGTACATTCAATTTTCTTCGCGTGCGCAGTGGATTCTTAATCACCGAAGACATTCTGTCGAGTTTACGGAGTGGAAACGCGGTGGCTAGAGAGTGACTCGCGATCGCGGGATTTGGAAGAGGAGGAGGAGGAAGAGGAGGAGGAAGAGAATGAGGACGAGGAAGGTGGGACATGCGAGATGGAGGAGCAGTCGGTCTCATGGCAAAAAGAGCTGGACGAAGGTTAGATTAATGGTTGAGAAATGCAAATTGTCCGGTAACCCCCGGAGGGAGGGGGTGGTTGAGGGGGCCACAGGGGGGCATGCGGTGGCCTCTCCGGTGGGTGGATAACGGCGTCTCACCCGCTTACCAACCAGCAAAAACCCCTTAGAAATATATCGTAGGTCATTTCCCTTGCTAAACTCGAGGAGAAAAAATTGCCAGCGAACCCTGGAACCGACCGTGCCACCGCGTCCACGTACTCACACCCCCGTGCTCGCCACCCACTAACTTCCCGCCGCTCTCTTCCCAGTCTCGTCCCATCTCACCTCATCCCGTTAACCAGCCTCGGTCCGACGTCCAGAAAGAGGACTGACCAACCGACTGCCGCCTCCCGGCGCCTTTTTCGCGGCGTGGAATACGCGCCTCCGCGGAAGGAGAAATGCCGGGATATATATGCGGGGCACGGAACAGAAAAATGGCCGCGAATTTGTTTTGGGTAGGCAAGGGACGAGCGAACGGCATGGCACGGCCGCGGAGAGATACGAGAACGTGTGCGTGGAATTCCTATTCTCCCGTGCGAAAAGGATGGCATTTACAGACGGGCCCGGATAATCGGCAATAGTTTATTTTTGCTAACGTTACCCCTCCCATATTCTCTTTCAATTCACTCGACCGATTTATCGATGTTCAATTGGTTATTTATATCCGAAACTACGTTCCATCTTTCTTCGCCGTTCATCCATCTTTTTAGTCCATATATGTGTCTTATATTTGATGAATGGAATCTTCGGGAATCTATCGAAATAGAACAACTTTAGTTTCGAGACTTTTCAACTTTGACAAAATCTCTGTCTTTAATTTTTATTGATAGTAGGCATTTGAAAGCTGTTTCTGCTGATCTGTTAATTGATTAAATTGTTGTATTTTTCATTCCCTAGTTCATTTTGGTTCAAAGATTCATTTTGCTATCTTCCCAGCAGCGACAACTCGATTTTCATATTTAAATGCGTTTTTTAATAGAAAATCATTTTTAATTAATAATTATGTCATTAATTCTGAATTAACATAATTATGAATTAATTATGTTAATTTATGTGAATAGAGTTTCTAAATTAGTCTGAACAGGGGAATTGCCTATTTTGTTTTTGAAAATAGAAAACTTGCTTGTGAAATTTAAAAAATTGTAATATCTATGAAATTATCAAAAGTTAGTTTTAAAACTAACTGTTATTAAATTAGTTTAATGAATTAAATAAATTATTGTTGTGAATATATGCTGCGCAGTGCTGTTAAAAGTTATGTGGCTTTTTATTTTTGCTCAGAGATCGATTATTATTCATGAAGAACTTTAACTGTGATTTTATAAATTTTTTTCAAATAATAATATTTGCGTTACTTCGTAGTATAGCCAATAAAAAAAAAATACGCTAGCCTTAAAGAGTACAGGCCGGTATACCGAGTGATAAAAAATCCCGTTACAGCGCGTCACGTCGTGTCCGTTTCATCAAATCTTCCGACCGATAAAGAGCGATGCCTCGGCATCAACCTGTGGCGTCCTTCCACCAGGACGCCCGCGTACCAATATTGGCGCATCTCGGTCGTTCGGACGTAGTGTCAATCGCGTCACTTCATCCATGCATTGTGCGCGCGCATATACGTGTACTCGTACACATACATATTCGACCGGTTCTTTTTGTCACATGTATATACTCGTATAATCTTTGTTTTATTCGATTTATCGTTCTCACGCGAAAATCGCTTGATACAAAACAACACTCCTTTTGCGCACGTAGAAGTAATAGATGGGATCATTTGAGAATCGCAAACGTTTTTATTAGCTCCTTAATTTACATCGTAATCTGACCGCCCAAGACAGCCGCGCTCCTCATTTGCGAGGCACATCACCCGGACGGCGGAAGTCGCTTGAAAAATAAATGAGTAGTTTTAATAAAGCACGGTACACTAAAAACAAAAAACAAAAACAAAAAAAAAAAGAAACGAAATGCGAAAAAATGTCAGCCGGGCGGCAGAAGTTGCGCAACATGTGAATATGCGAACGCGGAGGAAGTTACATTTCCAGTTTCGTGCAACGAAAAGGCGCGGCGGCCAGTATTTCGCAATTAACGCATTCCTTAATCCCCGGTAACTGCTGAATATTTCCGCATTTGCCCCTGGCACCGTACCCGCCATGGCGTTGTAGCGGCCGGTAACGGCTGGTACCGGCGATAATCGTGAAGCACCCCTCGCTTATGCCACCAGTAACGGTCGCCAAGAGTTGCGAGGACACGGCTGTACGCGCGCGTAAATCTCGGAAGGCGTTTTTCCGGGGGTGAAGTCGCGGGGGCGTCATTTTAAAACGAGGAGAAATCCCGGGGAAACGAAATGCCGGGTTACCTGAAAATTTCCTGGCGGAGTCGCGACCGAAGGAGGTAGCGCGTACACGGGGGAAGGAGGAAATGATGAAAAAAGGCACCTAGGCGAGAAGCGGGGTACACTTATTTTCATTCCCGCCACCTCAGTCGGAAGAGGGTCCTGCGGGAGGACTGCGCGCGGCCTCATTTGTTACCCTTAATGTCCTGCAGCCTCCTCCTGTCCTCCTGTCCCGCTGCCTCCGGGATCTTATGAGGGAGAGGGCGCCCGGGAGTTACCGTCACCGTATATATATATATGTGTGTCTGTGTGTGTACCTGACGGGTCTGTATGTGCGATATGGCCTTAGCGCGGTAGCCCTCTCCAGGAATATATTTCAGGAATTATGGGAAATTCTATCGAGCAATGTACCGTGATGATTTATCGCTGCCAGCATCCGCGAAAGTAATAATGGAGAACGTATCGCCCTCTCCTTTGGTGAACGGCTTGGTGCGCCGTCCCCACCGTAATCTCGTCGCTCCAATTTCGAGATCTTTTATTTTTCAGCTTTTTTTTTCTTCATCGCCTCTGGCGACAGTATGAAAATAATGCGACAGGAAAAAATAATTATTATTTTATATTAGTCTCTTTTGGAATCAAATTTTCCGACGTTCTTCGAAGGAGAGATATATCGTATAAATCTAATTAATTTATATGAATATTATACTAAAATAATATGTATAAGATAATTAATATATTTTTGTTTAGTCCTCCGTATGATTTTCACTATTGCTTTAGTTAAATAATAGGATGAAATTTCAGTATTGACAAATCAGTTAATTTCAAGTGTGTACATAGGAAAGCTTCGATTTCATAAAGCGGTAGTATTTCGACGCGTGTCACGTCGTCAAAGATTTTTTTTCGATCTCACTTTCTATCGCAACGGTTGATACGCTCCATCTATATGGTAGAGGGCCTATATTTTAAAAACCGCTCGAACGGTAGCTCCTCGAGAGGAAGTTGCCTCGGAGTAATTAACGATTACCAATCAGCAGCTCCCACTTGGATTCTCTCGAGGATGGTAGTTAGGAGGGTCGGTACGGTTTCCACGGTGAACGCGA